GAAAAGAAGGAAAAGAGCTTAGGCAATGTTGCCCATTGCTCTTCTGCCATTTGATCATTTAAATCAACTGATACTTTAAACAAAGTTTCCAGAACTTTTGTCACTACCACAGAAGTCGTCGTAAAATGAGCACTTACCTAAATTCTGGCATACAAGTTTGTCATATCAGTTCTCTCTACTTTATGTTATCATTTACATAAATATCTGTAATACACTATGGACTTGTTGGCATTTCAATTTCATTCAACAGCAGCATATTTCTTTACCTCATGCATCTATTATCACAAATCTTGAAGATAATAGTGTATCACATCAAAATAAGAAAATTTGAAAAACACCAAGAAGTTATTGCAAATTAGACTACACAGTAGGCCATTCAAAATGCACTGATTCCATTCATGAAGAATAAGAAAAGTCAAAGTCATATTTACTGGACAAATAATATAAGGTACAAGTGAAACCTGGTAAAATTTAGTAGCATTCAGCTTGACAAGCATGAAGAAATCAATGTTATATGTAGCTGCCATGGCTGGCAATAACTGCTGTGACATACCATAGCATAGAAAAGAAGAGGTTTTGCATATGTGCTTGGGTTATAACAGTCAATCTTGTTTCCATTGCCGAAGTTCATTTAACATAGCCATGAGTAATGTATGTGAGCTACTCATTGACCAGTCATCAATCAGACGTACTTGATGGGTGACCTGTTCGCAGAACAGGCACATTAAAGCACAACCTGGCAGATTATGAAGAACTGATTAATACAGCATGCCATCTAAGGTCACATTTTGCCTGTTGAAACTTGTACGGTAGTCAAGCCTTGAAGATAAAGGAAGAAAAACAAGATTCAAATTTTCAGAGTTTTAAAAGTGAGTGTTCAGTGTGCCTGCAATACATATTAAGCAAAAGCAGAGAAATAAAATCCAATAGCATCCTGAACTATTATTGCAAGTGATGGACTCGTATGGCATAAATGCAAGGGTCATGATGCTTTTTTACTCTCATGTTCCAGACTCAAATATGACCATCACAATGTTTTATGCAGAGTTAAAATTTGTCTGAAAAGACAATGCAAGGCCATTAGTTTGGACATGTTCAGATTCAATGCACCATTGTATACACATACATCTGTGGTGCAGTAATTGCAACAAAGGATACTTTCCAAATATTTCTCTTCACTGCAGATAGCAACTAACAATATGGACTGACACAGGGTCAACAGACCCTAAATATTATGCTAAGCTTTTTAATGTTGCTAGGCTATTATCATTTCCATGCACACATGTACTTACTAGTTTGGTAGTGTTATTATGTTTCTGCAAATATTCCAATGGATATTTCCTTTATGCATTGATATCACTTTCTCATCACTGAGGTTTGTTTTGGTATAATACAAATACTTATTTCTCTGAAGAATAATCTAGCCTCTATAGCCACAGATTTCCCTCTGTTACCTCAGGAACTTCTAACTGTTCATTCCCCCTCTCCCAATGAGGCTATTGAAGCTTCCCACATAAAAGAACAGCAGGAAAACACACAATTCTAATTATTAAAAATAGCACTTGTAAATAGTGCAACTAGTGTACATGATTTGCATATGCATTGCATTTGGATATTTCATCGAGGTTTACAGACGGTGCAATATTTCAGACTTACTGGATGCTTCCTTCACGGTATTGCATATTGGAAGGACAGCAGTGTATAACTGGAAAAAAAAAATCAATCTTGCAAGGTTCATACATACTTCTGCAAATGGAAATTAAGGAATTTAAGGACCATCAATGAAAAAAATTAAGAACTTATCAAGTAAATAGGAACTTAATAAACTGAAGCAATTATCTATACATGAACTTCACTTTTATAATACCACTTTTATAATTTGTATGAATAAAATAAATCTGTAAATAGGATGATTATTATTAATCATAAGCTAATATCTAACTTAATTATAAAACAAATTTAAGAAAAGAATTAACTTCGTATTTTTTTCAAGTAGTTAGCATTAAATTATAAAATTTCTTGACACATTTATATTTTACATTTATATTTTACATTTATAATAGTCTTACATATTTTAAAGAAGCTTAGTGGCTTTTTATTTAAATTTTACTAACAGTTAGCTTTATATTGATTCTTTCTTTTATGCTTCATTTCATTACGTACTCGCTCAGTCCAGAGGTTTATGTCAGTTTTATGTCAAGTGACATATGTTAAATTGTGAAGTTAAAGAATAATCAACATGACTCATAACAGAAGCTTGGCTGTTGCCACCACAGTTGCTTGCTTAGAGACAGAGAGCCATTGATCATAACAGATGTGAATGCCTAACCTTGGTATGGTTAGTAAGAGTTGAAAATTAGCTGCACTTTATCTGAGCCAGTTAGTGGCATAGCTTCATGCTGATTTGCTACAGTTGTAACCCAATTAATATGCAATATTTAATATAAATTTCCAATAAGCAGCTGAAGCACCAAAAATGATAGAGTTTTTTAAATTATTATTATTATTATTATTATTATTAAGTCTCATTAGCTGTAAGGAATAAAATTTCAGGTTAATTTTTACACTGCTGTGTTTAAGGAAAAGAGATAACTTCTAAGGGTGAGCAGTTTAGTTACAAATAATTAATTTACATAGTTAGATATGCTTAGTAGTAGTACAATTACATTGTTACAATTATATTTTTTTATTTCTGACTAAGAACATTTTACAACAGTCATAATTCTAAAATTATAATAGTAACAATACAAGAATAAATACAAGAAGAGCTGCAGAACATTTATGTTTTGTAGCAAAAACAATAAAATGTTTATGCATCTTTTTAATTTGAAAATTTTCCAGACATTTCGATTTATTTACATCAGTTTCCTTCTCTTTAGCACTTTATTTATTTCAATGAACAAATCAATGTTCCCACTAGTTTCTGTTTCATCTCCTAATTTGTTAATGTTTCAACAACGTACCTTTAAAGAACAATTTCTCTCTCTTCGTAAAATAATTTTCTTTTTCAATGAGTTTCCTAACTTATAATTTTCAGATTTAATAAATAATTTATGTTATTCTAAAGAACTGCTCAGAATGTATAGAAGAAATATATAATTTCATTTATTTAATGATTGAGAATTGAAATATGAAACAATATAAGGTGAGGATCAGTGCCTCACAAAGATGGCAGAATTGTTAGAATTTAGTGAAGCACCAAGTGACAAAATGTTGAGAACTTAAGGCAGGTACTGAGGTATGTAAGGTGCACTGAGACATACGTATATGCTGAACCTTTTAATAAATTATTAGCTTTCATTTTTTTAATCTCTTTGATTATTTCAATGCTTGTGTCTAGTCAAAAAATAGGAAAATAAAGGGAGTACAAACATGTTGAAAGAAAGAGTTCTGGGATCAAAAAGAGAAAATTCAAATAATTTCGTTTTTACTGTTCTTCCAAAAATTCTTCAAATGATAAGAAAACCATCAAACTTCCTACAAAAATGTCCATTACATGTTAATGCCATGAAAACTAATTCTGTCACATTTTTCTGGAAATCGTAGGTCTATAAATCTTGTTTTTTAAATCTAAACCTTCCAATGTGCAAGATTTAAACCTGAAAAAAATTATCCCTATCAGCTCTGCAAGAGGAAAAAGCGGAAAGATTTTTCAAAAAAAAAAAAAAAAAAAAAAAATTCAGAAAAGAAAAGTGTAAAATGAGTTTTCAAGAAAATACTGATACACATTTAAATATTTTGGAACAATAACATGGTAAACAACTCTTAGCATGAAAAGATATAAAAGGTGGTGAATGAAATTGATTTTAAAATAATTACAGTAGCTTTTTTGTTTTTGTAAGAAGTGTTTTGGAATCTGTAGCATTTACTATCTTTGTTTATTTTTCAGAATCCAAATACTCCTACGTCACTAAAATGTAAAGTAATGTCATTTTAAAATATTGCAGAAGAAAATAAAAATGATTTGTTTTAATGTTACTTCTTAAGTATAATTTTAATATATTATTACAGTGATATTTATCAATCTTAGTAAAAAAATGTCGAAAAATTCACAAATCTCCAAATAAAAAATTGTATATACAAACTGATCTTGGAATCATCAAAATGTTGATCAATCACCATATTTAGTGCTTTATTATTATTCCCCCCCCCCGAATCAAAATACTCCTAAGTCACTAAAATGGAAAGTAATGTCACTTTAAAATATGGCAGAAGAAAAACAAATTTTTTTAATTATTTCTTAAATATAATTTTTACATATTATTACTGTGATATTATCAGGGTTTGTAAAAAAATGTCAAAAAATTCCCAAATCTCCAACTAAAAAAATGTATATACAAACTGACGTATTGCTACTCACAAAGAAAATGCTTTTTTCATCCCTGTTTTTGACCATTTAATGTTAATCTACTCAAATGCTATACTACTACTAAAGTTTTGTAGTTGTGGCTCAATTCTTTCTGGGTGCATACATGTTTTTGCAACAGAGTATATTAAAAAGTAGAATTCAAAACCCAGTAAATGCATATTTGTTAATGCATCACCAAAAATTATTCCTCCAAAATGTTAATTCACATTCAAAATTGCAGTCATGAAAAAACAGATAGAAATGTCAGATGTGTAAAATTAAGTATATTTTGCCAATTTTATTAGAAAATAAGAAAAGAACCAAAAATTGTTTCCAAAAAAAAATTGAAGGCTTTTAAGTACTTTTAATGACCATATGAATACTGTCTTATTTATTGAACTTTTTGTTTCTGAAAAAAGACATGGACCTGTACCTTATCACCTATGCCAAATGTATGAGCAACAAACAAAATTTAGATTAACTGGCACTCCTGCTATTTGTCACAATTTTGGCTAAAAGCACAAACGTTTAAATGCATAACAATTTAAATGATTTCACTCCACAATATAAAACTATATCATTTAAATATTTATTTATAGAATATGCACTTTAAATTTACATAATCATTCAACCAAAAAAATATTGGCAAAGATTCCAAGTCACTAAAGTGAGTTCTTTATTTGACTGTCTTAAAATACATAAAAATAATTAACAACAAGTAATGCTTTCATTATGATTTATAATAAGCTTTTAACACTTCATCTGTAGGCCTTAGGATTGTACTATCTTTTAAATTAATCAACCAACCAGGTTCTAAACCAAAAAATACTTGTCTAGGATCCTTTCGAGTTGTCAGCATCTCAAACTGAAAAATAACAAATGTTTCTATTATGTTTCAAAAAATCTTACAAAAAAAAGAAAAAGAAAAAAAAAAAAAAAAAAAAAAAAAAAAGGAGAGAGAGAGCATATGACAATGTTTTTATAATCTGATTTGACTATTAATTATGTATGATTATTTAGAATGACTTCAAATTATAATATTTTAAGCCTACAACTACAGCATGATTAGCAACATACCAAACCAAACAAATATTATCCCTTTTTGTATAGCACTTTGTACACTTAGCAAAAAAAAAAAGGGGGACAGTTCTATATCTCTCGTTCTACTGGGCCGACTGACGAAGTTCAACTTGCATTTTTCATGTCTTGAAAGCATGACTTAGGATATGTATTAAATTTATATATAGCATTGTTCTAATATGGATATTTTGACACAAAATCGGCCTTTTCCTGAAATAACATCCCAATTATTTTCCATATTTCAATTCAACAACTCAAATTATGCCAAACTGCGAAGTTTTGTAAAAAATTAGCTCTCAAAATTTTAGCTCCTCAATGTTAATTGAATTTGATATATATTTATAAATATCTCTTTTTTTTATTACCTGAGCCCTTCTTCCAGAATTCAAAATAAAATTTGCCCCTTTTTCGTGCTTTATTTTTTTAATTATATTTTAAAAATTTTTATAATTTTTTTTAAAAAATTTGAATTATAATCTATAAAATTTTTTACCATCATCTTAAAGTAGATGTATTTTTAAGCATACCTTCAAAAAAATTAGAGTTTTTTATTCAAAATATCCTAGGATATATGCGATTTTACATATTGGGGCATTTTGAAATTTGGCATACGAGTAATTGTTATAAGCAATAATAATGCCAAATGTTCAAATAATGAATTATTACTTCCCCTTGCTCATTTACAATGAAAAAAAGGAAAAGAAAATAGGTTGCTATAAATTAAGAAGTTCGCGAAGTGAATTATTCTTGATGAAAACGGAAAACAATGTGCCAAGATAAATTTTTGAATTTCTCCACAAATTCCACAGAAAATTTTATAAGATTTAATATTTAAGCATAATTTGAGCCGTAGGATTGAAATGTGGAAAAACATTGGCATGTCATTTCAGACAAAGTCTGATTTTCTGTCAAAATACATATATTAGAACAATACTATATATAAATATAATATATAGTCAAGTCTTTAATCCGGACTCGTCGGTACTTCGGCGATTCCGTATTATCGGTTTTTCCAGATTATAGATCATCAGTTTAAATCTGGTAAGATGGCATGCAGAAATTATAAAATTAAAAATATGACACCGTAATTTATGAAATAAAATGTAATTATGATCTAAACGCTATCAAAATTTACAAAAAAAAAAAAAAAAAAAAAAGCTTAATATATATTTGTTTACTTTATTAAACATTTCTTTCAATGCGTACATGCATAAAGCATACATTATGCATAGTCGAAATTAGAAAATTGCAACCAGAAAACTATTTGGTGTGTATTCGTGATATTTATAATGACGAGGAATTTGATTTAAATCATATCAAAGACGGAGTACAACGAGATGAAATACTACATTTAGTAAATTATAAGCCGAATAAAATAAAAACATCTGCCCTGAAGATAAGGATAGTGCTGACAGATCAACTTCCAGTTCACCGCGTGCAGCAACTTCCCCCCACACACACACACACAGCAGCGTGAAATTGATAAACAGATTTCGGAATGGTTAGAGAAACAAAGGATATGCCTTTATCCATTTTTTGCAGCAATTCCACTTTTTGTTTGATGGGCATTGAAACATGCTTTCGCTTTGTAGATCCTTTGGCAGCTCCAGAATCGGAAATTCTTTTTGATATAATCAAAAGTTCAAGCTTACTTTTACAAAATTGCTCTAACTGTCTGCAAAAAATAATAAGCCAGATCCAATTAGAAGATTAAGAAGCAATGCAATCTGCAACATTAACTGAAATAGATAATTAGATAATTTTAGCTTAGCTTATACCGTCCGGTATACATTATACGCACATGTGCATGCGTAAATGCATATGCGCATGTGTAAATGCATTACGCGTTTAGGCATGCGCAGAAGGTTTGTAGCTTTGAGGTCCGGATTATAGATCATTCCGGATTATGGACGTCCGGATTAAAGACTTTTGACTGTATTATGTTTTCATTGTTCTTCCAGACGTTCTCCAAAATGTAAGAAATTCATCGCAACTTTCTGTAAAATACATCCATTATGTGTTGATACCATGGAGACATTCTTCATTTTGTCACATATTTCTTGAATCTTCTAGAATCGTGGGTCTATAAATCTTGCCTTCAAATCCTTCTAAACTTTCCATGCTGCAATTTCAAAAATACTAACTAAAAATTATCCCAACCAATTCTGTTACATCAAAAAGCCAGAAATATTTTGGAAAAAAAAAAAAAAAAAGAAGGAAAAAGGGTAAAATTAATTTTATAGAGAAAACTGATGCATAATCTGAGAATTTTGAATAATCTGAGACAATTACACAGGAAAAATGCTTACTATGAAAAAAATTAAAAAGAACACATTTTTAATTAATTACATAGCTTATTTTGCTTTTACTAAGAGCTGTTTCGTAAATTATTCTTTATAGCATTAAACCTTGTTTATTTTTCAGATTCAAAATATTGTAAATAAGTTGCCGAAATGAAACTTTATAATATGACAGCGAAAAATAAAAATGTTTTATTTTAATGTAATTTTTTAAATATAATTCCAATATATTACCATTATTTAATAAAATCTATCAATGTTACGATGCTTTAAAAAAAACCACCGAAAAAATTTCTCAGTTCTCAAATTTAAAATTTCCTATAGAAGCTGATCTTAAAATTGCGAAAATCACAAGTCTTCAAATTTGAAACCGTTTAATAAATGAATCACAACCCCCAAAAGCGAAAAGTTGTTTAAGAGCTCTTTATTAGAAAAAATGAATTTTGAAATGCTTATGTTTCACTTTTTGCTTAGAAACTCGAGTATCCCATCACTTATATTAGAAATAGAAACAAATTATAACCCATGAACCCATTCAAAAAATAACCATATACATCAGTGAATCGCCAAAAATATGCTTCCAAAATGATAATTCACACTCAAAATGGCAGTCGTAAAAACAGACAGAAATTTCAGATGATAAAATTAAGGACCTTCTACTGATTTTGGCCAAAATTAAGGATTTTTAAGGATCAAAAGTGAATTTTAAAAATTAAGGACTCTTAAGGACCATACGAACCCTGTTTTTATTAAACATAATTTTAATACTGTTGTTATTTCAACACTATCATAATACCATTATTACATTTGTACATTTGTTAAAAAATTTTACAAATCACTGAATTAAAATGTATTTAAACAAATTAATATTAAAATCTTTTAAACATTAATAACCTAACATACTAATGCATAACTATGGAGGAAGACCATATACACAAAGACCATATTCCTACCTCCATATACACAAAAGAACTCATATTTGCAAAAAGGGATAAAGTTCTTTTTGGTGTAATAAAACGAGAATGAATTTATTAAGCCATAACCAAATACCTGATAAGAGTACATGTATTAAACATAAATCTGGTGATAAATTGCTAAATTTAATTAAATTGCTAAATTGTAAATATTAATTGCTACATCGTAGCAAATTAAATATCAAAACTATTAAATCATTAAATTGGCACCATTTTTAGTGCTTTCACAAAAAATTGAAAAATTTATGCACAAAGTCTTAAATGGAAAAATTCATGACAGTTGGCAGACAAGCATTAATTGTGGTTTATAAAACATACTGAAACCTACAGTCTGATTGAAAAACTGCCTCAACACCCAAACACATTTATTTTATTTAAATTTTTAACTGATTTATATTTTCTTGTCCAGAGGAATGCACTAGATGGCCCTTATTTCTTAGTGGCACTGAAGGCCTGTTCACATTGATACGTAGCCCTCCCCAAACTTAAATTGCTCAAATACCAGCAGAGCAGTTCTCCCTCTTTTCTAATGCCCTATTTATATATTTTGTCCATATAGTGGAATGAACTTCCAGTTTCATTGGACAACAAAGGGCAGATGGGTGACTATTATGAAATTCACATTTCAGTATTCAGAATCATGCAGAGCCTGAATACTAGAGCCAGTACAACCAATGCATCTGCACCAAGAGGCAGAATTTAAGGGCGGAAAATTTTTAGATTTAAGGAAGGAATATGGCAACAGAATTTAGAAGCCTCAGAGTTTGCAGAGGGTAGTAAAAAGCTTAGCACTGATCCCCAGGTTACAGCTATCATCAAAGTATGTTTAAATATGCCGTAAAGTCAAAGTTGAAGTCCAAGAATCCCTCACACACAGCAGAGAGACTGTATCCTTGTTAATAAAACTTGTTTTGAAAAGCCAGATGAACAACCAATCAGGCACTCTGAAATTTACCCTCTGGGATGGCAGATTGTTCCATATTGCTTACAATGTCAGTTTGCACTAGCCACAAACTGCATGATTTGAATTCATATTCATACTAATCTATTAATTTAAACTCTGAATGGCAGTGTCAGAAAAGGGAATGAAATATCAAATAGGAAAATTAAGGACCTTTTGCAAGTTTAATCTGAAATTAAGGACTTTTAAATAATAAATGGTTTCCAAAAAAACTCAAGAAGTTTTAATCTTATATAGCATACCAGGAACATATAGATTAGCATAAAACAGTAAAAAATAATTCAAAACAAAACAAAAATTTCAGGAGAAACAGATACTCTGCAGAAGGGCACTCTGTGATCCTTTTGAAAAAAAAGTTTTCTGGAAATTTGATTTACCTAAATATCTAAATTAAATAGGTAGTTTTAATATTACATTAAACAGGCAAGCTGAAGGAAATTTATCAAGTTCAAATTATTGCAAAATTTGAATTAAGCAAGTTCAAGTCAGGCAAGCTTGACTTTACATTATACTTGACAATCCAGAAAAGGCTATATTTTGGGGTTCTGTC